GGGGGGGGGCGGGGGAGCGTCCTCGTGCAGGAGCGTGGTCAAGGGCGTCGATGGCCAGGCGTCTGCGTTCAGGGACGTGATCGGCCACGTCCGCGTGCGTGGAAGTAGTCGGGAGGCGTGACCGGAGGGGGTGATATCGCGCAGAGGCGTGGTAGGGGCGTGGTCAGGGCGTGGTCGGCGGGGCGTCTTCGCGCAGGGGCGTGGGCGGGTGGTCTGGCGGGCAGGTGTCCTCGTGCGAGGGCGCGGCCGGGGCGGGGCTGGCCGTCCGGGCCACTCAGGTGCAAGCCACAGGTGAGGGGCTGGGTTGCGGTAATACCGGGTGCTGCGGGTCAGCCAAGGCCCCGCTGGGAGTTGGAGGGTCATGGCGGGTTTGTGCAGCAGGAGCCTGAGTCGGGGCGCGCGCGGGCATTTAGGAGTCTCGCTGGCATCGTGCGTGGGCGCGCCTGGGAACCCCGCCCCGTCGCCCTGGCGGAGTCTTCCTCCCCACAACCGAGGTAAGTCGCGTTTGCCTTCAGCGTTTTTGCTCTGGAGAGAAGTACAGTAGGTCCTACAGATTACACCTGAGTTTCCGAACTAGTTTCTCTGACTCTGGGCTGGAACTCTGGACCTGACTTGTGTGTTGTAATGGCAAGTTTTTGCACATCAGACTGTCCTGGCTTAAAAACGTTCTTCCTGTGGGGGCATCTGGGTGGTTGGGACAGGTCATGATCCCAGGGTCATGGGATCAAGCCTGTCTTCCGGCTCCACACTGGGCATGGAGCCTGCTTGGGGTTCTCTCCTTTTGCCCCTCCCCCTGCTTGCGCTCCTCTTTCTCGGTAAAAAAAAAAAAAAAAATGTTCTTACTGAGCTGAAGTTCACGTAGTATAAAGCTATGTGTTGGGGGGGGGGTACCATTCTTTGTTGAGTTTAAAAAAATTTTTTTTGATGTTTATTTCTTTTTGAGAGAGAGAGAGAGCACACACAGGGAAGGGGCAGAGAGGGAGGGAGACACAGAATCTGAAGCAGGCTCCAGGCTCTGACTGTCAGTACAGGGCCCGATGTGGGGCTCGAACCCACAGACCCCAAGCTTCACGACCTGAGCGGAAGTTTGACACTTAACAGAGCCATGCAGGCGCCCCTCTGTTGAGTTCTAAAATATTTCCCTAGTGGACCCATTGCATCCCCATCAAGCAGCGGCCCTCCCTGGCGCTGTGCTTCCCGCCCTGCACCAGACGGCTCCGCCCACGTGAGGGGGGCTCCTCTCCTGTACTCCTGGCGGCCCCACCTCTACCCCCCCTACGCTTGGTGGCCCCTCCCCTACACGGGGCCCCGCCCTACACTGTGCGGCTCTGCCCCCGCGCCTGGTGGCCTCGCCCCCACCTTGTGCGCCCCGCCCTGAACTGTGTGGCCTCGGCCCCGCGCCGGTGTCCCCGCCCCCAGCGCTGTGCTCCCCTCCCGGCAATGTGAGGCCCCGTCCCTGAACCTGGCGGCCCCACCCCTGCGCTGCGCTGTGAGGTCCCGCCCCCGCGTCCGGAGGCCCCACCCCCGCGCTGTGCGCCCCGCCCTGCACTCTGGGGCCCCGCTCCGCGCCGTGCGGTCAGGCCCCTGTACCCGACGCTCCGCCCTGCGCTTTGGGGCCGTCGGGGTTGCCTGTTTCTGCTCGGAGTCACGGATTCAGTACTCGCCTGTTCGCGGCCTGTGTGTCAGGACTTTCGTCCTCTGTGTGGCCCAGCAACATTCCGTCACCTAGCTGTGGCGCCGCTTGTTTGTGGTGCATCTGCTGGTGGCCCTTCAGGCTGTTTCCCCTTTCTGCCCGTCGCGATCCGCGCTGTGAACCTTTGTGTACACGTCGTTGAGTTCCTGATTTCAGTTCTTTCGGGGACCGACCCAGGAGCGGGATTGCTGGATCGTGCGCTGAGGCCGTGTGTCACTTTGAGGAGCCACCAAACCTTTTTTGCACAGCAGCTGCCCGGTTCACGTTCGCACCACTAACATGCGAGCTCCGGAGTGCCCACATTCTTGTCAACACTGTCCTTGTCTGTGTGGGTTTAAAGACCCATGACAGAGCACTCCCCTCCCCCTGCTAGTGGATGTGACGCAGCTCACTGCGGTTTCGATTTGCGGTTCCCTGGCGGCTGGTGATGTGGGACGTCCTTTCCTAGGCTTATTGGTCACATATCTTTGGAGAAATGATTGTTCGGATTGTTTGCATGTTTTTTGCTTAGGTTGCTTGCCTTTTTGTTGTTCAGTTTTAAGTATTCCTTACATAGTCTGGATACTGGGCCTTATCAGAGATATAGTTTGCAAATATTTCCTCTCATCCTGTAGGTTGTCTGTTCCCTTTCTCCTATTGTCCTTTGATACAGAAATATTTTAATGTTGGCGAGGTTCAATTTACTTTTTCCTTTATGCTCATCCTTTTGGTGTCATGTAAGAAACTTACTAAATTCAAGATTATGAATATTTGCACCTGTGGTTTTTTTCCCTAAGCATTTTACAATTTCAGTGCTTTGATTTAGGGCTTTCATCCAGTTTGAGTTACTTTTTTACACGTGGTGTTAGATAAGAGTTCATCTAAATTGCTGTGCATGTGGACAGATTGCCCAGCACCGTTTGTGGAAAGTCCTGTTCTTTCCCCCACTGAACTGCGTCCGGTGTGGCCAGCTGTGTGGTAAACGTCTGGACTTTTCCGTTTTAGTCTCTTGGTCTGTTTGTCCTCATGCCTTACCACACCGTCTTGATAATTGTAGCTTTGTAGTATGTGAAGTGTGAGCCCTCCAACTCTGTTCCTCTTTTTCAGTATATTTTTTAAGATTTTATTTTGAAGTAACCTCTACACCCGCTGTGGGGCTTGAACCCACAATCCCAAGGTCAAGAGTCGCACACTCCACCGACTGAGCCGGCCGACGGGCACCCCCGAGATTGTTTTGACTATTTGGAATCACTGGCAGTTTCATATGAATTTTAGGATCACTTTTTCTAGTTCTGCCAAAAAGACCATTGGGATATTGGTAGGGATTGCATGGAATCTGTTTAACGCTTTGGAGATATTTGGACATACTGCCACCTTAGCAGTACAAAGTCCCCCAATCCTTGAACACAACATGTCTTTCCTTCTGTTGAGATCATCTTTAATTTCTTTCAGAAATGTTTCGTGGTTTTGGGTATACAAGTCTAATACTTCCTTGATTGAATTTATTCCTGAAGTATTTTATTCTTTTATTTAAGATTTTTTAAAGTTTATTTAAGCAATCTGGACACCCAGCCCGGGGCTTGAACTCATGACCCCAGGCTCAAGACCCGCATGCTCCATCGACTGGGCCAGCCAGGCACCCCTATTTTATTCTTTTTAATACTATTGTATGCGAAATTACAAGTTTCCTTTTCAGATTGTTCATTGCTAATGTGTAAAAATACAAGTGATTTTTAGGATACTGATCTTGTATGTTTGCAACTTTGCTGAATTTCTTTATAAGTGCTGATGTTATGTTTGTGGATTTTTAAAAGGTTTTTTACATATAAGATGCCATCTGCAATTAGAGATACTTTTATTTCTTTTTCTGCCTAATGGCTCTAGCTAGGACTTCTAGTGTAGTATTGAATAGAAGTGGAAATGGGCATCCTTGTGCCTGATCTTAGAGGGAGAGCTTTCTGTCTTTCACCACTGATTCTGACACTAGGTTTGGGTTTTCCAAGGTTCCCTTTGTCATTTTGAGATCTATTCTTTCCATTCCTAGTTTAGGTGTTTTTATCATGAAATGAAATGATGTTGAAATTTTCTCTTCCTTCTATTAGTGTGGTGTATTACATTGATTAATTTTTGTATGTTGAATCATCTTTGTATTCCTGGGATAAATCGCACGTCATCGTGGTGTCTAATAATTTTAATATGCTGCTGGATTATATTTGCTAGTGTTTTCTTGAGGATATTTGCATCTATATTCTTAAGATACTGGTTTATACTTTTCTTCTTGTGGTATTTTTGGCTTTATTATCAGGGTTATGTTGGAATTATAGAATGAGTTAAGGGGTGTTCCCTACTATTGTTTGGGAGAGTTTGGGATGGATTGGTGTTAATTCTTTAATATTTGGTAGAATTTACCCATCAAGCCATCTGGTCCAGGGCTTTCCTTTCTCAGGATGGTGTTGATTATTGACTCAATCTTAGTATAGGATATGTCTAGATCTTCTATTTATTCTTGGTTTCAGTAACCTCTGCATTTCTAGGAATTTGTCCATGTCACAGGATTTCTATTATGCTCGCATTTAATTGTTCAGTATTCTCTCATCCTTTTTTATTTCTGTAAAATCCAGTCGTTTTCTTGTTCACTTCTGATTTTAGTAATTTGCGTCTTGTTTTTTCTTAGCCCGTATAAAGAATTGTCCATTTTGGGGGCGCCTGGGTGGCTCAGTCAGTTAAGTGTCCCACCCTTGATTTCAGCTGGGGTCATGATCTCACAGTTCTTGAGTTCGGGCGCTGCATCGGGCTCTGCACTGACAGCATGGAGCCTGCTTGGGACGGTCTCCTCTCTGCCCCTCCCCCGTATGCGCTCTCTCTCTCTCAAAATAAATAAACTTAAGAAAAAAAAAAAAAAGAAATGCCCATTTTGTTGATCTTTCCAAAGAACTAGCTTTTGTTGATTCTGTTTCCATTGTTTCATTTATCTCTTCTGTTAACCTTAAAAATAAAACTGCCAATTATTTTACCAGCAAAAATGTCTTTATTCTGGAATGGCAGAGAATGGTACTCCAAGACTAGCGAGCCAGATCAAAGCCTTATAGCAGAAGGCAGGAGAGAGGGTGGGGCTGTTGTAAACTAAAAGTCCATTGGAGTAAACTGGAAGCTGGAGGTATAGAGGCTTCGCATTGGCTGGGCTGTGGCCGTCTCCCATTGGCTGGGCTCTAGCAGTCTCCCATTGGCTGGCTATGGCCGTCTCCCATTGGCTGGGCTCCAGCAGTCTCCCATTGGCTGGACTGTTGCTGGGGCAGGAGGAAGCCTTCCTTTCCCCTGCTGGGGTAGTAAAGTGGTAGCCGCAAGCAGGATGCTGGCCTTCTGTTGGGTCTGCATTTGAAAGCAGTGCTGGGTGTGAGGCGCCCCCTGCCGGCCGACTCCACTGTAGACAAAGTTTCCTTTTATTCCCATGCTCACATCTATTGGCTTTGGGTTTAGTTTGCTCTTTTCTTGTTCCTTAAAGTGTAAAGTTAGGTTGTCGATTTGTCTTTTGTGCAGCAGGCACTTACAGCTACAGAGTCCCCCCACACTGCATGTGCTGTATCCTGTAACCTCTATCTACAGTCTTCAAGTATTTTAAAAATTTCTCTTGTGATTTGTTTTTTTGTCTCCTTGGTTATTGAAGAGTGTGCTCCTTAACACCCACGTGTTTGGAATTTTCCACTTTGCTTCCTGTTCCTGATTTCCAGCTGCATTCCATTGTGGTCAGAGAAGATTGGTATTCTTTCGGTCTTTTTAAACTGAGGGGGTCTTGGAGGAAGAGTGAGCCTGGGAAGGTTGCGGGGATCCGAGGGGAAGGCGAGCGTTTGACGTCATCGTGCGTGTGGTGCCCCTTCTGCCGGGGCTGGTGATTGGAGGAAACCCCTTGTCTGCGGAGCGGCTGTACCCTGTGAGCAGCGAGATCCAGGGACAGAGTCTCATCTCAGCCTCGCCGCTGCCGCCCAGGGACTGCTGAGCCCCCGTCCGTCCGTCCGTCCGTCCGCCGCCACCCACTCCGGACACAGAACATCCAGTCAGGGATAAAAACGAGCTGGTGCAGAAGGCCACGCTGGCCGAGCAGGCTGAGCGATATGACGACACGGCAGCCTGCATGAAGTCTGTAACTGAGCGAGGAGCTGAATTATCCAATGAGGAGAGGAACCGTCTCTCAGTTGCTTATAAAAATGTTGTAGGAGCCCGTAGGTCATCTTGGAGGGTCGTCTCAAGTATTGAGCAAAAGACGGAAGGTGCTGAGAAAAAAACACAGACGGCTCAAGAATACAGAGAGAAAATTGAGACCGAGCTAAGCGATATCTGCCATGATGCACCGTCTCTTTTGGAAAAGTTTTTGATCCCCAGTGCTTCGCAAGCAGAGAGCAAAGTCTTCTATTTGAAAATGAAAGGAGACTGCTGTCCTTACTTGGCTGAGGTTGCTGCTGGCGATGACAAGAAAGGGACGGTGGATCAGTCACAACAAGCATACGAAGAAGCTTTTGAGATCAGCGAAAAGGAAATGCAGCCGACACACCCTATCAGATTGGGTCTGGCCCTTAACTTCTCTGTGTTCTATTCTGATATTCTGAACCCCCCCGGAGAAAGCCTGCTCTCTTGCAAAGACAGCTTTTGATGAAGCCACTGCTGAACTCGATACATTAAGTGAAGAGTCCTACAAAGACAGCACGCTAATAATGCAATTACTGAGAGACAACTTGACATCGTGGACGTCGGATACCCAAGGAGACGAAGCTGAAGCAGGAGAAGGAGGGGAAAATTAATCGTCCTTCCAGGTTTTGTCTGCCTCATTCTAAAATTTACACAGTAGAGGGGCGCCTGGGTGGCTCAGTCGGTTAAGCGTCCGACTTCGGCTCAGGTCATGACCTCACGGTCTGTGAGTTCGAGCCCCGCGTCGGGCTCTGTGCTGACAGCTCGGAGCCTAGAGCCTGCTTCAGATTCTGTGTCTCCCTCTCTCTCTGACCCTCCCCTGTTCATGCTTTGCCTCTCCCTGTCTCAAAAATAAATAAAAAACATTAAAAAAAAATTTACACAGGAGATCATTTGTCATCCATGCTGTCCCACAAATAGTTTTTTGTTTACGATTTATGGCAGGTTTACGTTACTTCTATCTGAATTTCTGTATTTCCCATGTGGTTTTTATGTTTAATATTAGGGGAGTAGAGCCAGTTGACATTTAGGGAGTTATCTGTTTTCATCCTCAGGTGGCCAATACGGGGATGTGGAATTTTTATACTAGTATAAACTTTTGGCATAGTACTTTTGGTACATCGTGGCTTCACAAGGGCCAGTGTTAAAACTGCTTCCATGTCTAAGCAGAGAAAACTGCCTACATATCGGTTTGTTCTGGTGGCGAACAAAAGGGGTAATTGGTTGCAGATACAGGTGTAGTTTTTGTGGGTACTTTAAGGTCTGGAGCACTTACGGGGCTGTAGTGGAAATGGGCGTCCCGTAGATACTACACGTTGAACCGTGTGCGTCCGTGGCGTACTCATTCTCAAATGTGCACACCTTTGACTACAGTTCCAGAAGTGATCCTTCAGTTGTGGCCCAATTTGCTCTGGATGAGGGCAGAAACGGTTCACATTCCATCATTTGTAAAGTTACCTGCTGTTTGCTTTCATTATTTTTGCTACACTCGTTGTATTTGTATTTAAATGTTTTAGGCAACCTAAGAACGAATGTGCAAGTAAAGATGCAGTAAAAATGAACTGCTTGATGTCCATCACTTTATGTATATCAAGCACAGCAGCAAAACAAAAATCCCATGTATTTAACTTTTTTTAGGGTCGTTTTTGTTTTTGTTTTTTTGTTTTTTTTTTTTTTTTTGATACTTGCCTAACATGCGTGTGCTGTAAAAATAGTCAACGGGGAAGTAACTTGAGATGATGGCTCGCTTTGTTTAATGTCTTATGAAATTTTCACGAACAATCCAAGCATAATTGTTACGAACACGTGTATTAAGTTCACATAAGTGGAATAAAAGTTTATGAATGGACTTTTCAACTACTTTCTCTACAGCTTTTCATGTAAATTAGTCTTTTGGTTCTGAAACTTCTCTAGAGGAGATTGTACATTTTTGGAAAATTTTTCCTTATTCCCTGTTGGCAGCTAATGGGCTTTTACCAAGTTTAAGTATGAAGTTTATCATAACAACAAAATACTACTACTGTAACTACTACTGTTCCCAACCACCATGTCCCATATTTCTCCTTGTGTTTTTTTTTTTTTTTTCCAGACGGGAGATTGATCGGGAAAAAAGTACCGTGTTCCATTTAAAATTTTGGTATATGGCATTTTCTAACTTAGGAAGCCACAGTGTTCTTGTTCTTGGCCCATCATGACATTGGGTAGCATTAACTAAGTTTTGTGCTTCCAAATCACTTTTGTTTTTAAGGACTTCTTGATCTTGTTATAGCCTGCCTTCAACTTTGATCTTTATTCTATTTGTCAGGTGTACAGGATTACCTTTTTTAGCCTTCTGTCTTGTCACCAACCATTCCTACTTTGGTGGCCGTGTACTTGGACAAACGGCCGCATGATTTTTCTGGGTCCACTCCATGTCTGAGGACCCCTTGCTTCCTTTGCCTGCCTCCCACAAACTATTTCCCTCATCCTATTTACCGCAGCAAATCTCTCCTTAGTTGATGAGATTGTGTTTATCTCCTTGTAAACCCTATCTTTCCTGAATGGTCTGTCGTCGTCTGCCTTTAAAATCCTTCCTCTTCCTCTCTTTAAATAATGATGGGGCTAAGTTATACCCAAAGCTCACCCTACGGACTATTTCCTTAGTACCTCGCAGAAAACACCAAACAAAAATACCATTTTTAAAAGAGGTGTATTTTTTTTTCTTTTAGAATGTAAGCTCCTCGAGAGCAGGGACAATGTTTTCTGTGTGTTCTATTGTGCCTAGTACACTGTAAATGCTCAATAAATATTGATGATGGGAACAAATTTAAAAAAATAATACACTTAGGGGGGCTTGTTGTGTGGCCTGACGAGTGATCTGTCCTTGAGAATGTTCCATGTGCACTTGAGAAGAGAGTTTATTCTGCTATTGTTGGGTGAGACGTTCTACAGATGTCTGCTTAGCCTATGGGTTCGAGTCTTCTATTCCAAATTTCTGTCTGGTTGCTCAATCTGTTATGGAACTGGGGACCTAAAACTTCCAGTTATTGTCGTAGAACTGTTTCTCTGTTTATATGTTTATAGTTGTTATATCTCCTTGATGGACTTTCCTTTTTAAGATTAACTGTAATATCTTTCTTTGACTCTTGTGACAACTTTTTAAAAAAATTTTTTAATGTTTATTTATTTTTGAGAGAGAGAGAGAGAGAGACAGAGTGTGAGCCAAGAAGGGGCAGAGAGAGAGAGGGAGACCCAGAACCCGAAGCAGGCTCCAGGCTCCGAGCTGTCGGCACAGAGCCCGACGCGGGGCTGGAACCCACGGACCGTGAGACCGTGACCTGAGCCCAAGTCTGGTGCTGAACCGACTGAGCTCCCCAGGCGCCCCTCTTGTGACAACTTTTAAGTTATATTCCACTTTGATGTTCATAGAAGCACCCTAGTTTCTTATGGATTTACTTCTGCCACTTGTTTTCGGTCTTAGATGTGTTTGGCTAGTTCTCAGCTCCTCCATCACAGCCTGTCTTTGTATTTTGTTGATTTGAAAACTATACCATTTTAATTCCCTTCTTTCTGTTTCTGTGTGTGTTTTCGTTATCTGTTAGTGGTGACCTTAGGGATTACAGTTAACGTGACAACCTGGTCTGAACCTAGAACACACCAGTATGAATAATACCAATTAGTTTCAAAAGTCTATAAACACTTGTCCTATACATCTCTTTGCCTCCTTTGTGTTGTTGTCGTCACAATTCACATCTGTAGCTTGTGTGCCTGTTAACATCGACTTGTAATGACTTAGTGCATTTGCCTATTAAATGCTACAGGAAACAAGTTAAAACCACACAGGATGCGGTAATGCTGGTTTTTATACTTAGCTGCGCGAGTCCCTTCACCCCGTGCTCTGTGCTGAATTGCGCCCCTCCCAAATTCACGTGTCGAAGCCCTAACTTCCAGTGTATTGGGGAGCATCTGGTATTTGGAAGTGAAACCTGTGGGAAGTGATTAGGTCTGTGGGTGGAGCCCTCGGGATGCGATCGCTGCCCCTGTAAGAAGACACAGGGGAGGGATGCTTTTCTCTGCACCGTGTGAAGACAAGCGAGGAAGAGGGCCCTCTCCAGACCAGCCGGCCTCTGGAGCTCAGACCTCCCAGCCTCCAGAACTGAGAGAAATAAATGTGGTTTGAGCCACTTAGAGCGTGGTATTTTGTTACGGCGTCCAGGCCGACTGAGGCAGCAGTGCCCCTCGTTTTTACTCACGACTTGGAGTTCCTGTCCAGCGTCTTTCCGTTTCACCCTGAAGGACCCCTGATAGCGCTTCTGTGGAGCAGGTCTGGTGATGAACTATTGCAGCTCTGATCTTTCTGGAAATGTCTTCATTCTTTCTTCACTCTTGAAGGTCCATCTTGCCGGATACAGAATTCTCGATTGACAGTTCTTTTCTGACTTGAAAAATGTCCTCCCACTGCTCCCCGGCCTCCATGGTGTCTGAACAGGAGTCGGCCGTCGCTTTTCCCGAGGCCTCTTGTATGTGATGCCTCGCTTCTCTCCCACTGCTCTCCGGCGTGTCTTCGGCTATCTGACTCTCGTGTTTGTTGGGTTGGCTTTGAGTTTATCTGGCTTGGAGTTGACTGAGCATCTTGGACTTGGATGTTCCTCTTTTTACTCAAATGTGGGAGTTTGGGGCCATTTCTTTAATATTTTTCTGCTCCTTTCTCCCTTCAGGAATTTCTATAATGCATGTCTTGCTGTGTTTTGTGGTCCCAAGAGTCTCTCAGGCTCTGTTCGTTTTTCCTCATCCTTTTTTCCTTCTGCCTCTCAGTCTGAATAATTTCTTCTGTCTCCAAGTTTGTGGATTCTTTTTCTGGTCTGCTCAAATCCACTGACCCCCTTCTAGTGAATTTTTCATCTTAGTTATTGTACTTTGTAGTTTCGGAATCTCTTTGGTTCCTTTCTATAATATTTATTAATGTTGCCATTTAACCACACATCGTTTTCCTGATTTAGTTCAGTCCTTTATCCGTGGTTTCCTCTGGTTGGTTGTCTGCTGCCGTGTCGGCCCGTCCATAGCCGGTATTGTGGTAGGACCGGTCCTCGTGGTCCGCACTATGATTGCAAGATGTCTTTCGGCAATAACCGCCAGGAAACTTTGAAAAAGCGCAAAGTTTATCACTTACAGCACTTGGAAGTGACACAGAACAGCCGGGGGCCCGTACGGCAGGGTTGTGGACAGAGCACATGCCCGGGCCTGCGGTTCCGCTTTTCTCGGGGTTGACGGCAGGGTTTTGTGGGCTCACTGTTGGCGAATTTCAAACATTAAAGCTAGAATTAAAGTGCAGGAAGAGAAAAAAATAAGTGGCTCAAATGGTCAGTTTTCACAATCAACCAAGATCTTTATTTATTTACTTATTTACTTACTTTAAAGTCAGGCAGATCTTGATTTTTTTTTTTAATGTTTTATTTATTTTTGGGAGAGAGACAAGAGTGCGAGCGGGGGAGGAGCAGAGAGAGGGAGACACAGAATCTGAAGCAGGATCCAGGATCCGAGCTGTCACGGAGCCTGACGCGAGGATCGAACTTGTGAGCCGTGAGACGGGATCATGACCTGAGCTGAAGTCGGACGTTTAACCGACTGAGCCACCCAGGTGCCCCCCAAATCAACCAAGATCTTGAAAACAAAGGAACCTCTGTCAGGGGAAGCAACCTGGTTTCTTATCTAGGGGCGTAGCTGTCTTTGCAGTGCACACCTCGGGATCAAAGCCTAAGCCTGGTACTTGGATTACAGAAAACAAAGAAAAAAACCAACCGTCACGGCCTACACCACACTTTTTAAACATATTAAATACTGGGGCGCCTGGGGGGCTCAGTCGGTGAAGCATCCGACCTGGGCTCAGGTCAAGGTTTGTGGGTTGGAGCCCCGCGTCGGGCTCTGTGCCGACGGCTCAGAGCCTGGAGCTGCTTCGGGTTCTGTGTCTCCCTCTCTGTCTGCCCCTCCTCCGCTTGCGCTCTGTCTCTCTCTCCTGTCTCGAAAATAAATAACGGTAAAAAAAAATTAAATAAAAACATAGTGAATACAGTTTGCCTGATACCTATGACGATGCCGACGTCTGTGCTTCCTCAGGGATAGTTTCCGCCAAAAGACGTTCCCCTTATGAATGAGACGAAGTTTCCTGTTTCTTTCTGTTTTATAATTTTTTCTCAGGGAGCGGCTTTTTGGGAACCATGCTGTGGTTACTCTGTGGGTCATTTGTGCGCATTTTTTAAAGGTTGCCGTATCTCGAAGGCTGGATTTGTTCATTTGTGACTTTGCCAGGTGATCCCTGCCAAGTGTGTGTTCCTCGTGGCGGGGGAGCCGCTGAGATTCCTCTTAGCTGTGCAGTCAGCCAGCGACCTGACGATTCCCTTAAACGTGTGGCTCCCCAAACGGGGCGGGGGTGGGGGGGACCACCACCACCAGAAAACAGATACGATTTCTTTACATCTCCAGAAAGCCACTTCAGCCCACGGAGTGTTAAATCATGACCACCGTCCCTTTCTCTGGCCCTTTAGTCACAAAACCAGCCCTTAGCAACCAGCACCCCTGTCTTTGGGGATCAGGTCCTCCCTGCACACGCCCGTCTAGCGCGCCCCTCCGGGAGCGCGGGCCCCCACGGCAGGGGTGCGAGGTGGCGGGTGCTCGCGTGCGGAAGGCTGAGCTGCACCTAAATTGCCTGGGCCCTTCATCAAGACTTGCTGCGGATTGATCATCCGGCCTCCAGAGTTCCCAAAGGGCTCCTCCAGATGGTTTCCGCCGGCTCAGCAAGGGGGGCGGCCCCCAGGAAGGGCTCCCAGAGCTTCCTGTGTCTTCTCAGCTCTTCCCTACACTCCCCTACACCCCGTGACCCAAATTCAGGGGCTTATTTCTTTGAGCATTCCTGGTTGTTCTACGTTAAGTTGGATCCCAGAGTTCTGAGAGGCTGATCCCGTTTTTGTTAGCTTAATCATTGCCGCGATGGAGCGATGGGGTTTTGGAGCTTTCACGTCACCATTTTTTTGTGCTGCAATTTCTTTTGAGAAACCCGTTTTCCAAGTCGGCGCACCATTTTATGTCTGCGCCACGAGTTCGCCGGGATGGCGTTTCTTCCACGCCCTCACTGGCACGCGCTTTGGCCCGGGTGCGAGCACACTCGTCGTTTCGGCCGTTCCGTTAAGTGCGAAGCAGCGCGGCGCCCGGGCTCTTGGTCAAGACTCCAGCCCGGCTCGGGTGACGATCTCCCGGCTCATGAGTTCGAGCCCTTCATTGGGCTCTGTGCCGACAGCTGCAGAACCCGCTTCGGATCCTCTGTCCCCACACCCTCCGTCCCTCCCCAGTTTGCGCGCACGCTCTCCCTAAAAGAAAGAAACGAGCAAACAGACAGGAAGCAATGGCTCGTGTTGACTCGCGTCAGCTTGCGCGGCGGTGTGTGTGCGGGAAGTATGCTGGGGGTTTGTAGACTGATCTTCTATCCGGTAGCACTTGTCAAAAGGTTGCGTTGATTTTTCAGTAGGCGATCGTGTTGCTTAGAAATACAGACCGTCACGCTTCTTGCCTCATAATCTGGTGACCTTTTATTTTGCTTGCCTTATTCTTAGGGCTGGATCGACCTGTGACGCCGAACAGAAGGGGCGAGAAAGAGTATCCTTGTCTTAGCCCTGATCTTAGGACAAAACATTCCGTCTTTCACCATTAAATATGATGTTAGCTGTAGCTTTGCCATAGAGGCTCTTTTTTGGGGCGTCTAAATTCCTTTTTCATTCAAGTTTTTTGGGGGTTTTTTGGGGGTTGGGGGGGGGGGGGGCGCCCTGCTGGCTCAGTCAGAGAGTGTGTGACTCTTGATCTCGGGGTTGTGGGTGTGGACATTACTTAAATACACATAAAAAACAAGCAGACGGCCGATTTTGTAAAAAGCTTTTTCTGAATCTACATGGATTGTCGTTTTTTTAACCTTTGTTAATAGGGTTATCACTTTGTTTTTTACTCTGTTAATGTGGTGAATGACACGGCTTAACTTAGAATGTCAAACCAACCTAGTACTCCTGGAATAAAGCCTACTTTGTAATGATATGTTATCCTTTTAGTGGATTGTTAAATTTGGTTTACGAAAATTTTGTTTAGAATTTTTGTCTTCCTGTTCATCGGGGATACTGGTCTATGGTTGTCTTTGCCTCTTTCTGGGCTATTTGGATACGTAGCATATCCAAATAGGATAACACTGGCCTCATGGAGTGGGTTGGAAAATATTCTTTCCTTTTCAATTTTTTTGGAAGATTTTCTATAGAGTTTGTATTATATCTTTCTTAAGTGTTTGGTGGTATTCGACAGTGAAACTATCAGGAAGCAGAAGGTTTTTTAATGGAAATATTTAAAACTACACATCCAGTGTCTAACAGATGTAGAACTATTCAGATTGTATATTGTTTTCATTTAAGTGTAGTTAACACGCAGCGAGGGGCGCCTGGGGGGCTCAGTCGGTTGAGCGGCCGACTTCGGCTCAGGTCACGATCTCACAGTCCGTGAGTTCGGTCCCCGTGTTAGGCTCTGTGCTGAAAGTTGGGAGCCTGGAGCCTCCTTCAGATTCTGTGTCTCCCTCTCTCTCTGCCCCTCCCCTGCTCGTGCTGTCTCAAAAATAAATAAAAACACTAAAAAAAAAAAGAAAACCAGCATGCAGTATTGTTGGCATCAGGTGTACAATCTAGTGATTCAGCAGTTCCTGCCTTGCTCGCTCGCACCCATCCTGATACTTGCCCCTCCAGCCTGTATCTGATGCCTCCCCCTGCAACTCCCGTCTGGCAGCTACCAGTGTGTTCTCTGTAAGAGTGTGTTTCTTGTCTTTTGTCGTTTGTTCATTTGTTTCTTTTTAAAATTAAAAAAAATTTTTTAAATTTATTTTTGAGAGAAACTTTGTGCACGAGTGGGGGAGGGAGGGAGAGAGAGAGAGAGAGAGAGACCCATGCTGTGAACACAGAGCTGGATGCAGGGCTCGAACCCACAAACCGCGAGATCACGACCTGAGCTGAAGTCGGAGGCTCAACTGACTGAGCCACCCAGGGGCCCCAGGATATTTTGAGTTTTTAAACTTTATTCCTTTGAATTTGAAAAATGGATCTGTAAACCCCACATCACGGCTCCAGTGTTAGTGTGGTTTATCTTTTCCGTCTTTTTACTTTCAACCTGCTTGTGTTCTACTTAAAGTGGATTTCTTTTTTTTTTTTTTTAATGTTTGTTTATTTTTGAGAGACAGAGACAGAGAGAGACGGAGACAGAGCATGAGTAGGGGAAGGGCAGAGAGAGAGGGAGACACAGAATCGGAAGCAGCCTCCAGGCTCCGAGCTGCCAGCACAGAGCCCACGTGAGGCTCGAACCTACAAGCCGTGAGATCATGACATGAGCCGAAGTCGGACACCTTACCGACTGAGCCCCCCCAGGCGCCCCATAAAGTGGATTCTTGTAGGCAGCATAGAGTCGAGTCTTGATTTTCCATCCCATTTAACAGTTTCTGCTCTGGTTGGGATGTTGGGAACTTTCACACTTGATGTGACTGAGTCCGTCACCACGCTGTCCGTCCTGTCTCTTTGTTCGTTTTCCCTCTGTTTCTGCTTTGGGATCGTTTTTATGAATTCACTTTATTTCTCTTGTTATGTTAGCTATACTTGGTCTGTGCTCTGCTTTGGGGGTTTTAATATGGCTAAAAGCAGGTAATGTTAAGATGTTAAAGAGCCTGCCCTCTAGTGACAGGGTGTCACTTCACATGCACGCACCTTACAGGGGCGCACGGCGTTTCTCCCGTGCTGCTGACCCCGTTCTTGTAGGTCTCGTGTCGTGTGTGCTGTCGTGCCCATGATGCATGTTTCCTTTCTAAACGGGCAGTTCTGCTTTAAGCAAAGGTGTGAGATCGGTGTTCTGTGGTTAACCATGCAGTTCACGTTCTGGAAATTGTTTTTCTACGTAGATGCAGAATTCCGTCTCACATCGTTTTCCTTCTGTCTGCAGGAACTCTTTTTAAAAAAAAATTTTTTTTTTTCAACGTTTATTTATTTTTGGGACAGAGAGAGACAGAGCATGAACGGGGGAGGGGCAGAGAGAGAGGGAGACACAGAATCGGAAACAGGCTCCAGGCTCTGAGCCATCAGCCCAGAGCCCGACGCGGGACTCGAACTCACGGAGCGCGAGATCGTGACCTGGCTGAAGTCGGACGCTCAACCGACTGCGCCACCCAGGCGCCCCGCAGCAGGAACTCTTTTAATGGATCTCGTAGCCTGCGTTTCCTTGAGATTATTTTCGCTTCCGTGTGACATAAATGTTTTCATTTTACGTACGTTTTTCTTCTTTTGTAGGTTGTGTTAAAATACACATACCCTAAAGTTCACCATCCTAAACACTTTTAAGGGGACAGTGTAGTGGTACTGAGTACAGTCAGAATGTTGTCCCCACCACCCGTCCCCGGAGCCCTTTCGCCTCGTAACACGGGACTCCGTACCCGCTCAACAGTGAAGCCCGTTCTCTTTGGCGAAAGGCGGATTCGAGCCCTTTGCCCATTTTTGCATTGAGTTGCGTTTTTGTTGTTGAGTTTTAGGGGTTCCCTGTATACCCCGGGTGGTCCCTCACAGAGGCACGATCCCGTCCGGCGGATTGCCTTTTTACCCTGCTGGCAGTGTCTTTTGCGGCACGACATTCACAAATGCTCCTGAAGGTCAGCGCCGCGCGGGGCCGTCGGGAGCCGCGGCTGCCCTGAAAGTGTCAGTTTATTATTCGAGTTCTGCTGCTTGGCGGTGGTGACCTGGTGGCCGCGGCTCATAGCACAGCTGTCGCGAGGGACGCGGGACATCAGTCCGAGAACTCTACTTTCCGGCCACGGCGTGTGTCTCGCCGAAGTTACCGAGTTGTGGCTAAGCGTGGGAAGCTCAGCTAAAGAAAGTGGTGGTCTGGGGAGATTCGAGGCGTCTCCGAGAGAAGACGTCTCGGGCGGCCCCGAGGAACCGGCGGAGGTCGGCGCAGGACGGCTCTCCCAGCTCCGAGCTGCTGGGCGCCGCAGGTGCCCGGCCCCGGCGGAAGGAGACGGCCGCGCCGCTGAGCGTGCCGTGTTAACGTCAAAGCGGACACTCGGCAGGTCACGGCGGACTCCGGTTTTCATGCTGCTTTTGGGGGGGTGGGGGTGGTCACCCTCGGCCAGTGGAAACCAGCTCAGGCCGCGCAAGTTGTGGTGGAAGGGAATCCGTCGTTGGGGTTTGCGCCCTGGCTCCTGCCGCGTCGTGCTCGGGATTTGCAGGGGTGGGTTTTGGCAAAGTTTTACGGAGTTCAGACACGTCCCTTCGGGTGCGAAACAGGCACGCGTCTCCGTTAGGGGTCGTCGCGACATCAGTTGACGTCTGCTTGTCAGATGGAGCTGAGATTAGAGAGGAAGGGCTTTTCCGCGGTGGCACTGGTTTCTCGTGTCCTTCGCAAGGGCTGGAGCCGCTAGGCTTCTGCGCGGTCCGGCCCACGGACGGCGCCGGGAAGGGCTTTCCTGCAGCGGCCGCCGGTGTCCCTCCCCCCCGTCGCTTCGGTGACGCCGTTCGGGCCGCAGGGGGCAGCCGCCTTTGCTCCGGGTGCTGTCCTTGGATGTGCGCGTGTGTCTCTGTCTCTGGTCACCCGGACAAGACGCTCCGTCGTCCGACGGGGCGAAGGAGAGAGCAGGTGTGTGTGTTCGGCCCCAAGAGACTCCCACCAAGACTCGACCGTTCGCCTTAAGCCCGAGCCTTAATTGAGCCCGAGAAGGGAGCCGAAACAAAAACGGGGTGGTAACTGTGCGAGGAGAATGAAGAAGAAAGCTCTCCGAACGAGTTGCTACGGAGGCCTGACCTGTTTTGTTTCGCATCAGAGAATCTTCCTGTACGCAACGTAGGTTAAGAAAAGTACGGACAGGATGTGACGTTCCCAAAACATCACGTGAGGATCCGGTTTTCAAGTCACGTGGTTCGGGGCAAGGTTAAGGGCTAAAGCGCCAAAGCCATCTCTGTGTGAACCGTTTTCTTGTTCGGGAAGCAGGGCGGAGGACGGCCCTCCTTGTGCGCGGGAGTTCATCCCAGCAGCGGCTCCTTTCTGACGAGAGAGAGGCGGGCCCGGACAGGCCAATAGAGAGACAGTGTGCAGCGTCTCAAACGGAACCCAGATCGCGACGCGGGCAGTGACTTCTGGGTGGCGACGGCCCTGTGAGTGCTGTGTTTGTGCCGTTCGTTGTCTGGATTTGTACTTCTTTGCCGTCAGATGCTCTGCTTTCCCTCAACAAATACTTCTAATGTCACTTTTGTGCTTTTTTTGGTAAAGGATGTTTAAAACTATTGGGCTGCCATAATTTGTGAAATTTCAGTGTTTTCAATTTTTTTTCTATAATGTCAATGGGAAAATTCAGCAATAAACCTAATTTATTTATATGCAAAAAAAAAAAAAAAATGTTCATGAAGTGCAGTTTGTCCGCCTTCCCTTTTGTTGCCTGTGCCTTTGGCGTCCCGTCCAGAAATCATAACCAAATCCAGTGTGGCGAGACTTTTGCCCTCTGTGTTCCTCCAAGTTTTACAGTTTCAGGCCTTACGTGTAGGTCTTTGATCCGCTTGGAGTGAGTTTTTGCGTGATGGTGTGAGGGGAGGGTCCAAGTGCGTGCTCTGGGCTGGGGACGCCCAGTTTTCCCAGCGCCGGGTGCCGAGAAGACCGACCTCTTCCCCCTTGCACGGTCTCGGCCCGCTGGCCGGAAGTCGTTTGGCCACCCGTGCGAGGGTCTGTTCCCGGACTTCCTGTCCCACCGGCCCGCGCCTCTGTCTGTGTGGCCACCCCACACTGCCGTGATCCCCGTACCTTTGGGGTGGTTTTGAAGGCAGGCGGCGTGAGTGCGCCCGCTGTGTTCTTGGCTGTTTGGGTTTCCTGGAGGTTCCATACGAGTTTTAGGATGGTTTTCCTATTTATGCGAAGAAACTTGTCCTTAGGACATTGATGGAGACGGTACCGAATCTGCACATCACTTTGGGCAGTGCTGACCTTGAACAGCGTTGACCTCGCAGCCCGTGAACATGGGACGTGTTTCCGTTTACTCGGGTTTAATTTCATTTCTTTCCACACTGTTTTGTAGTTTTCACTTGTGTGTCTTCCACCTTCTTGATTAAGTTAATCCCTCAGCATTTTATTCTTTGTGAAGCTATTGGAGATGAGGTGGTTTTCGTAATCTCATTTTCAGACATTTGTTTCTTTTTCTTTGCTGTTCAGTAGTTCAGTTAGGATTTGTTTGGGTTGATTCTCTTTAGGATTTACTTAGCTTCTTGACTCATAGGTTTTTCTCTTTGCCTAACTTGGAACATTTTTCAGCCTTTTACTTCCTGAAGTGTTTTTCACCACCCTCCTCTTTCTCTTTTCCTTCTTGGGACTCCAGTGACCTGAATGTCAGACCTTTTGTCGGTGTCCCCCAAACACTGAAGATCTGTTCAAGAAAAAAATAAATAACAAGTGTTTTCTCACTTTGTAATTCAGATTGAATAAGGCTCCACGGACCCGTCTTCAAGGCTGCTGACTCTTCCCTTTCGGCTATTGTCCGTGTGGTGAGGGTTTTTTTCCTCACTTTATCTTTCGGTTCTAAAATTTCAACCTGGGTTTTCTTTGTCTCTTCTATTTCTTTTATGCAAAGTTCTGTTTTAACAGTCGTTGAAGGCATGCGTAAGAACTCCTTTAACGTGTCTGTCAGGTGTTTCCAACATCTGTGCCGCTTCGGATTGGCATCTGTGGTTGTCTCTTCCCGTGTGAACTGAAATGTTCGTGCTTTTCGTACGCTGAAGAATTTGTTCTCGTATCCTGGGCTTAGGGGATCCTGGGTTTTGTTTCCAAACTATGAGGATGGCGCCTTTTCTTTTGTCAGGCCGCCCACCTGGACAGAGGCAGGCTGAGCTCCGCCTGCCTCCTGTGGGCCGTGCCTCCAAAGTCCGTTGAGCTCTCAAAGCCTGATGTCCCAGATGGCAGCCTGTGACCTGGGCGGGCCTGTCCTGTCCCCACAGTGTGTGGTGTGCTCCTGAGGGCCTGGGTGGGGCTGCGCCCTGGAGCTCGAACACCGCCTCACGCCTCGCCTCACCGGGCGACTTTTCTGAGCTTCTCTCTTGGTTCTTTATTTCCGTGCGTCTCTCTCCCCTCCCCCCTCTGAGCCTCTGGGCAGAAACGGGCCTCTGGCCACCCCACTGTGCCACGAACTTGGCCGGACCTGGGCTGTTTGGGGCGAACTCAGGCCGATGAAGGGGACAGTGGAGAAGACAGCCCTGGGAGTTGGCCCCACCCTCGCCGTGTCACAGCTGCTCTGGGCGGAGGACGTTTTCCCTCCTGAGAACATCACCCCGGTGCCACCCCCAGCTCTGGACCCGCTGCCGCCAGTGCTGCTGCAGAATTGCCGGGCCCGGAGACGATGAGCCGACGGAGGGAAGGAGAATCCGAGGAGCATCGGGGGCTCCCCTTCCGTTCCTAGTTCCTATCCCCGGAAGAAAAGGTTTCTCCTTTCCCGTCCCCTCTCTCTGTCCGCTTTCTGGCAAAGGCGAGCTCCGGGCTGGCTCGGCAGGACTCCAGAATCTGGTGTTTTCCGGCCCCGTCGGGCCGCTCACGACCTTGACCCGAGGCGCCTGCTTCCGCCGACTCCAGCGCGTCTGTCGTCCCTCCGTGGGTCCGGCAGCGGTGGGGGAGGGCGTGTTCCGCCTCACTTCGCGGGTGAACCGCACCCTGAGCTGCAGTTGGGCCCCCCCTCCGCTCTGCACCCCTCGCGGCCTTTGGGCAGCTCCCGAAGCCTCTCCCCAGCCCGGGCCCCTCCTGGTTGCCTCAGCCTCCGTGGCTCTACTGAGAAAAGCACTCTGCCTCCGTGGGCGCCCCTCCCCCCTCCGCCTCCGTGGGCGCCCCTCTCCCACCTTCGTTAACTGTGTGGTGTGGGAGCTCAATTTTTTTTCTATTGATTTATCTCAAAGCATTTTAAAAAAAATTTTTTTTTCAACGTTTTTATTTATTTTTGGGACAGAGAGAGACAGAGCATGAACAGGGGAGGGGCAGAGAGAGAGGGAGACACAGAATTGGAAACAGGCTCCAGGCTCTGAGCCATCAGCCCAGAGCCCGACGCGGGGCTCGAACTCACGGACCGCGAGATCGTGACCTGGCTGAAGTTGGACGCTCAACCGACTGTGCCACCCAGGCGCCCCTATCTCAAAGCATTTTTAAATTTCCCTTGTAATTTCTTCTTTGTTTAGGAGCGTGGTGCTTAGTTTCCACATAGTTTTTGAATTTTCCAGATTCCCCGTTACTGATTTCTGATTTCATTCTATTGTGGTTGGAGAACATACTTTGTATCATCTCAGCCTTTTAAAATTTTCTGAGGCTTTTTCACGGCCGACATACGGTCTCTCCCGGAAAAGCCTCCGTCTGCACCTGAGGACAGGTCCTTTGCGGCGGCGGCGGCCGGGCCGGTGGACGCCCGGCTGGTTCGCGGCGTTGTGCACAGTCTCCGGGTGGGTCTCCGGGTGCTTGTCGACCCCTCGGGGAGGGCCGGCCCCGGCGTGTGGCGTCTCCGGCCCGACGGGCTCTGTGGAGCCCCGTGGAGGTAGCACGTAGTTGAGCCATAATTAGGAAGATAAGGCCTGCCACCCTGTCCCTTTAACCGGGAGAGTCTCATCCACCTGCACTTAAATTACTGACAAACCTTCCAACATTCTTGCTGTTTTCGGTCACAAATCTGTTTTGTTCCTCTACTGCTGCCGTCTTTTTTGTTCTAGGCATTTTCTGGTACTCCATTTACTGTTCATTTTACTGTAATTTTGAGCTATTAAAAAAAAAGGTTGAGGGGCATCTGGCCGGTTCATCAGTTATGACGAAAACCAGTGGGTTTTTTTATTTCTTCCTGCGGATTCAAGTTACTATTCGGTGTTTCCTGATCGAGCCTGAAGGACACTTTTCAGTATTTCTGAAGGGCGGGTGGCCTGGCGGTGAATTCTGGCTTTGTTCATCCAGAAATGTCCTGATTTCTCCGTTTCCTGGAAGGGGTCGCTCACCGCCATCGTCGTCTTTGAGCAGTTTGGGCCGCGTTCCCTCCTGCGTCTCAAAGGGCATCTCTTGCCACTTCGAGATTTTCTTCTTTTCTGTAGCTTTTGACAGTTAGATGATGACGCGTCTACGTGTGGATCTCTTGGGTTTCCTCTGCTTGGAGTTCGTTGAGCTTCTTGGATACAGGTTACTGTTTTTTGTCAAAGTTGAGGAATTTGGGCCATCGTGTCTTCGGATATGCCTTCTGCCCGTTTCTGCTCTTCTAGGAGCTCCCAGTGCACACGGACGCACCCGAGAGCACCCAGCAGGTCTCTGAGACTCTGTTCAGTTTTTGTTTTCTCACTCTTTTTTCTTGCAGTTACGCCAGCTAAGCCAGCCGGGGGCACCTGGCTGGCTCAGGTGGTAGGGCATGTAACCCCTGATCTTGGGGTCGCGAGTTCGAGCCCCACTTTGGATGCAGATAGACATATAAATATATAAACAAGACCAACTTACTTCACCTGTCTTCAAGTTTGTGGATCCTTCCCCCGACTCAAATTCAGTTGTGGCGCTTTTCAACAATTTTCATCTCAAAAAAATTCTTCATCTGTATTCTCTGTTTTGTGAGTGGCGTTCTCTGACTCCTGTCATATTAATTCTTTAGACACGACTTCTCTTCGTTATTTGAACGTGATTTCTAAAAGCCGGATCTTGAGTCTTTGCCAAGGGCATCGGGGTTCTGCAGGAAAACGGGCGCAACGGCAGGCGGCCGGGTGGAGGGACGGACTCGGAGGAGTGGCGTGCGTGGCTGCGGAGCCTGCCGAGCCCGGGACCTCAGGTGAGGCCGCAGGCTGGACGCCGGGGAAGAGCGGGTGCCGCGTTCTGGTCCGAAAGCAGTCTGCCGGAGAGCTCCCTCCTCCCTGGGGGACACTTGCCGCCAAGGCCTCTGGCTGATTGCTCGAGCCCCATCCGCTTTACGGACGGCCATTTGCTTCACTCAGATTCTAGCCGTGTACACCCACCTTCTCTCTCGCAGAAGCGTTTGCAGTCGATAACATTTGACTGCATTCTGGCATCGTGGCCTATCCGGTCGACGCGGACAATTACCCGTCTTTCTCCCCCTGTCTCTCTTTCCTTCTGTGACCCCCCGGACGCAGACGTTGGAACACTTGATCACATCCAACAGGTCTCCGAAACGCTGTCCGTTTTCCTTCATTCTTTTTTTTCCCCCCGTTCCTCAATTTGATAATCGCAACTGACTTATCTTCAGGTCCTTTTCTGTTCACTCAGATTCCATTCCTGCACTTTCAACTGCAGAATTCCCAGTTTCTTGCCTTAAAAAAATTTTTTTTAACATTTAGTTTTAAAGAGAGAGAGAGAGACAGCGTGAGAGGGGGGGAGGGGCGCGCGCGCGGGCGCGCGCGCACACACACACACACACACACACACAATCCGAAGCAGGTTCCAGGCTCCGAGCTGTCAGCACAGAGCCCGACGTGGGGCTCGAACTCACAGACTATGAGATCATGACCTGAGCCGAAGTCGGACGCTCAACCGACTGAGCCCCCCAGGCGCCCCTGAAAGTAGATATTTTAAATAATATAACATGGTGACTCTGGAAATCAGTTCCCCAGATTTATTTTACTTTGTTTGTTGGCTGCAGCTTCTGCTTCCTGCTCAGTGACTTTCCTCAACTGGTGCTGTGGAGTCTAAGTTCTGTGTCGCATGAGGGCAGTGCTGTCTTTGTGCTGTGAGCTTGCTGCTAAGCTAGTGATGGGACAGAAAGTTCCTTAAAAGCCTTGATCCAGCAAGTCTCCCCCACGCTTCCCCAAAGGTTCTTCTGTCGGGTTGGGGCTCACTTCCCGTCGGCCTCCGCTTCCTGCCTCCACAGGCTTCAAGTTTAGCCAAAAGTGAGAAAATTGGACGTTCTAAGTTCTTTCCTGAGCCTGTGCCCAGACCCGCACGTGCACGTGGCCTTCTAGACCCTTAGGAACGTGGCCCAGCGTCGGTCGGCGTACCGTGGACATCTCATTCCCCAGACCTTGCTTTTCGAGTTTGTGGCCGGGCTTGTTTGCCGTCCCCGGTGTCATCATCTCAGGCAGCTGTCGTTGATTGCTTTTGACACAACCTGTGGGGAAAGGGCTTTTTCCCACTGGGTGTATTTTGAGTCTGGTCACACAGTGAGCTCCAGGAATGGGGCTTTTCCGGGGAGCTGCCGGACAAGGCCGGTGGTGACAGTGTCCTGGAGATGGGAGGACACCTGAGGAGACCCACACTCAGTCCGAGCCCTCTGATCCTGCCGGGTTGCCGGTTTTCAAGACTACCGTGGAGCTGGACCGAGAATGGAAACAAAGGAATGGAAATGACACACGGCTTGCTGCAGAGATTTAGCTGTTTTTCCGGAATAATCACTCCTTGGATTGTAACAAGCCCTGGATAATCTCCAGGGTTCTGACCGTGTTGGTTGTTGATCTGGAGCCTCCCCCGGCCCCGCTCCAATGTTCTTATTGCTGTTACAGGCGTTTTTGAAGGTCTGTCTTTGCTGTTCTAGAAGCCCTGCTTTGTTTTCCATCGGATGAGTGAATTCGCCCTCTTTTATCTTTTTCATCTGTCTGAGATTCCGATCTGTGAGAGACTGGGACTCCTTTGAATTTGTCATCTGCCCTTTCTCATTTTGGGGGGATTTTGACTGGAAGGTAAAGGCTCAGATCGCCATCTTAACTTGGTATCTGGCACCCCGTTTTCTAAAGTATGTTCTGGAATATCATCCTGGCTTCCTGGGGAAAATGCAGACATGTCTTTCTTTAAGAAGTTGCCTAATTGTGAAACAGAACAAAAGACGCACAGAACACATTCACTGTGGTGAGTGGTCACAGAGCCTCCCCGTTTAGTCAGTGCCGGGGTCAGGAATCGGTGTCTCGCGGCAGCCCCCCGCAACCGTCGCGTCCCGGGGGTGGTGCGCGGTGGCCCATGCTGGCCGCTCGCACGGCAGCTCTGCCTTCCTGTTCTGGTGAACTTGAGACGAGCAGAGCCATGCAGTTCCAGGTGCACCGCGGCTGGATTTCGTTCGCCTTCGCTGCTGTCCGTAAGCGGCTCTCGGGGGTGGTCTCGCCCCGTCCCCTGAACGTTGGGCGGCGTGCAGACACGGTGGTGGTCACCACTCTGAGGGGCGCTGCCGGCGTTGGTAGGTGGAGGCCGCGCGTGCTGCTGAGCGCCGTACAACGTGGAGGAAACCAGTCACGAGACTCCTAGGGCCACGGGTCAGCAGTACCGAGGTCGAGAAGCACTGCTTTATGTGTGGGCAATCTATTCTTTTTTTTTTTTTTTTTTTTTAATCTTTCTTTATTTTTGGGAGACAGAGTTTGAGCAGGGGAGGAGCAGAGAGAGGGGGAGACACAGAATCCGAAGCAGCTCCAGGCTCGGAGCTGGCAGCACAGAGCCCGACGTGGGGCTCGAACTCACAAACCGTGAGATCGTGACCAGAGCCGAAGCTGGACGCTCACCTGACTGAGCCCCCGGCGACCCGCCGATCCTCCCCCGACAACCCACTTCTCCCGGTACGTTTGGTCTTCAGTGATGCTGTTTCTGCCCATATGCATGGGTTTCTCTTGGTTGTGTGACCAGAAGTGGGTTGTCGGGTCTGGAAGAGGGAGTAGCCGGGCCCGGCTGAGGCCGGTGCCTGTGTCACGAAGTCCCCGACGTAAGGAAAGCAAGCATTCGGGGCGGTGTTCGTCCCTCTTCCCTCTGCCCCGGAAGGAAATGGAGCAGGCTGCTGGGGGCCCCGTGCCCGCGTGGCCGGGAGCCCCCTCTTCCTGTCAAGCTCAGCCTCAGGCGTCCAGGCAGAATTCGAGCACGGAGCCCGTGGAGATCCTGTCCTCCGGCCATCTCGGGATGGGCCTGGACACTGCAGTGTCACCCGGTCAGGTGGGCAGCCCCCCTCCGGGTTCCTGTGCTTCTGGAATGTCCTCTCCGCTGCCTTCCGGGGGGAAGAGGGAGGCTGCTCATGGCTTTTCATGAAAACCCCTCACCTGCTTCCGGGTCGCAGGCTCTGCTGTCGCCATCTTGTGCGGGTCAGAGAAACGCGGTGTCCTCCCGCAGCCCCTCTCAGCCAGGGACAACCCTGGCCCTCGCTCCCGGGACAGAAGGGCCGTGTGCCCCGAGCAGGCGTGCGGCCCCGCTGGCCCGCAGCACTGGGGGGGGGGGGGGGGGGGGGTGGGCAGTGGGCTCCCATCCAGTGCTGCC